GGTGGGGGATCTTCTCCCTGTCCTCGCTGCGCAGGATGGGGTCTCCTGCCGCCACCCTACCCGGGTCGTCTGCACCACCTTCCCCTCCCTTTTCTCCTTAGCCTCACCGTCAGTTCCCATTGTATGTGCTGCACATGTAGGTGTGTTCTGGGGCACTTTGCACGGAGCTAAATCCTCAATCCTTTTTATTTTTATTTCACTTATTTTTACTTTGAGAGGGTCATCGCTTCTCGGCCTTTTGGCTAAGATCAAGTGTACTTTGAGAGGGTCTCTGAGTCCCAGACATGCCCAGGCTGGGCTTGAATGCGCAATTAGCTTTCCAGGGCACTGGGATTATACGTATAGTATGTGCCACCATGGCCCGCAGAAAGCCCCCCCCCTTTTTTTGAAATCCTACTGTTTTTAAAATTGCATCACTAGGCGTGGTGGCACATGCCTGTAATTCCAGCACTTGAGAGGCTGAGGCAGGAGGATTGCTTCAAGGCCAGACTGAACTACACAGTGACAACAGCCTATCTCAAATATCCAAACAGCCAGGTGTGGTGGCGCACACCTGTAATCCCAGTCCTCAGGAGGCCGAAGTAGGGGAATCATTGTGAGTTTGAGGCCAGCATGGATTACATAGGCAAGCGTCAGCATGCATTACAAAATGAGACCCTGTCTAAAAAAAAGAATTAAAAAACACAAATACAGTAAATAAATAGTATTCATACGTAGGAATGATCTGTATAGTGTACATTCAGCACAGCAAGCTTTATTTTTTTTTAATTTATTTTTTTTTGGTACTGGGAATCAAACTCGGGTACTGGCGCTTGCAAAGCAGGCACTGGAACCTCTGAACTAAATTCCCAGCCCAAAGCTTTATATATTCGATCCACCCCTCTGTCTGATCCAGGAATCCTCCCATGGCAGAACTGTATCCTCCCTCCCTTGACCTTTCCTCCACACCTGACGGGCTCCACCCAGCCCAGCCCTGCTGGTTTCGCTGGTGTACACCCCCAGGAGCTGGGGCCTTCCCCACCCCTATGGCCTCGGAATGCCACACTAGGCAGCTCAGAGGCTCAGGGTTTCCACTGGGATCTTCTCCTGCACTTTTATAGGTGGGGAAACCGGGGCCTGGAGAAGGGCAGCTGGGTGCTAAAAATCTGCTTGCCAGGTCACCTGAGAACGCTCACGGCAGACAGGGACAAAACATAAGTGGCATGATGGGGCTGGGCGGCTCAGTGTAGCATGTGCTCAGCACGTGTGAGGCCTGTGTTCCGTCCTCAGAACCATGGAGGTGATGGAGGTAAAGGGAAGAAAACAGCCTGCCGCAGGCGGGCAGATGCTGGACATACGCGGCCCTCTGCTTCCACATCCTGGCCGCCCTCACAGGCGCCCACAGCAGTGTGCAGCCACACCCCACCATTTGGCTGTGCTCTGCAGAATGTGGGCAGCGGGGCCCTCACTGTGGCATTTAAGGCATGGGACGCTCCGGAAAGGAGACCTTGAAAAGAGGAAGTGAGGGCAGCAGGTGTCCCAGGGACTTACAGGCCCGGGTCTGGAAGTCACACGGAGGTGCGGTGGGCTGGACCTCCCAACCTCCCCACCCAGACGCATGTGCCCACAGCTGGCGGGGCCCAGCTTTTGCACCCTTCTCTTGGGCGTGACGACTGCCAAACATGGCCCTCCAGAAGGGCCAGGCTCCCAGCTGTCTTCCCTCAACACAAAGCCAGGCCTTCTTTCCAGGAGGAGAGGGACTGGGGCAGGGGGCAGGAGTGCTGAGGACCGGGCCTGCTGACATGTTGAGACACAACTCCAGCAGAGCCTGGGGGCCTGGCAGGGGGCCAGGCCTGAGTCACAGCTGCTGGGTGTATCAACGTGGCATTGTACAAAGAAGCTGGGGCCAGCGGCCAGGGCATGGAGTCCTGGACACCAGGAGTCTGCCTGCCTCACTAACTGTCCTCACAAAGTCCCCTGCCAAACTCCACTTTCGGTCTTCCTGGTCTGTTTTTCTAGAAGGCATTCCTGTCATAAAATGCAGGGGTGTGGCCTGGGGACAGACCGGGAGAAATAGGGGCAGGGAGGCCGGAAGGCTGGTCTAGGAGGGATGGAGGCCACGGGCCCCAGGGTGGGGCACTGAGGATCCTCACAAGGAGGGGACTTGGCAGTCCCGTCTGGAGTCATCAGCTCTCCGCATGGAGACCCACAGTTATTAACCCTGACAGCACAGGGAGAAGGTAGGAGCCGCACCCCAGCGTCAGGCGAGGAAGTGGGGGAGGATCTAGGACTTCTGGCCCCACCGCATTCCTGGGAAGGTGCAGTGCTGGCCCCCGGCCGGCAGGGGGCGGCAGCGCCGGAGCTTCTTCCGCCGCCAGAGCCCTCTCTACGGCCCGGACCCCTTGGCCCCCGGCAGGCGGCGAGGAGCCTCAGCTTCCCAGAGGCAGCGCTCGGGGCTTGGCCCCACCAGTGAGCCGGGAGGTGGTCAAGGAAAAGCCAGTGCCCCTCCCGTCCTCACAGCCCGCCGTACTCTGCCCTCGCGGTGACTTAGCTCCCGCGGACCCGGGATCGCGGCCAGGCTGGTTCCAGGCGTCCTGTCCACAGCCAGCCGCGGGTGGGCACGGCCCTCTGCCCACACCGTGCCCTCCTGAGGGGCGAGGCAGCGTCGCCAAAGCGGACCACACTCTCAGGAGACGGGCGCGAGCGTCTCCATTCCACTGCCGGTTGGAAGTGTTTCTATCGAGAATAGGCCGGCTATTAATTATATTCACATTGATTACATCTGACTTGCCTACTAACAGCTTGGTTTTTGTTGTTTTTGTTTACAGCTTGGTATTTTAAAGGACCGTTTTCTCACTTGATGGGTCACTGTACACTTTGAAACCCAAGGGCTCTCTTCTAACCCCTTCTTTCACAGCTGAGGAACTCTGGAGAGCGGAGATGACTAGCTCAAGGTCACACAGCAATTTAGGAGCAGGGCTAAGCCTACAAGGACAGACGCGGAGGGCCAGGGCTGTCTCCCCGTCTCCCACACTGCCTGTCCCTACAGTCTGGGCCTCCCAGGAGCCAGACTTGGCCCTGCTGCTGCAGCTGCTAGAGGTAGTGAGGGGCTGGGAGGGAGGCAGGGGTGCAGAGGGCACAGTTGGTAGGGGAAAGGAATCGTCTACCAGTTGTCTCCCCAGCTGTCCCTGGCTTCAGCTCTGACCCTGAGCTACTGACTGAGACTAGGAGAGGGACAGAGGGCACACCCCACGCAAGAGGAAGTCTTAAGGCTCCTCAGGCCAGGGGCAGGGGCAGGGGCAGGCACTCAGGAGCCTGGTGAGGAATGACCGCATTTCCCTCGGGCTCCTTAAGTACTCCTCAGCCCCAGGTTGAGTTGTACCTTCTGTCCTTCTCAAGCAGAATGTGGACAGGAAGGGGCAGTTCAGAGAAGTAACAGCGGGATAAGGGCCAGGGCCCAGCACCCTTGAATATTCCATCCCCAGACTCCTTGCAATCCAGGTGGGCAATTCTCACGTCAAGTCCCAGGACCATCCCAAGACCCACGAATCACCGGGCTCCCCAAACTCTGACTGTCTCATGTGTGCCCTGGTGGGATCCTGGTCTTTCCAGCTGCAGGCTAGGGCAAGGGTTAACAGGCCCAGGCGGAGAGCAGAGCACAGGAGTGAGCCTTAGTTTCCCCTCCTCACCTGACCATCATCCTGTCCCTAAGGGTAGAGAAGTGAGGGTCAATGACAGGAGTAGCCAACTGAAGCCGGTCATGGGGACACACACCTGTGATCCAGGCACTGTGGAGCCTGAGGCAGGAGGAGCATGAGTTTGAGGCCAGCCTGGACAACAGAGTGAGGAGACCCTGTCTCACCAAAACCAAGAAAGGAGAGAGAAAAAAAGAAGAGTAATTCAACAGGAAGTGGGCCAAGCTCAATTCCTGACCTATCACCCCGGGCTATTTGACATGGGACAGGCTTCTGACTCTCGATGACCTCTGTTCTCTCTCTCTCTCTCTCTGGTACTGGGGATCAAACTGAGGACCTTGCACTTGCCAGGCAAGCACCATGCCACTGAGCTACATCTCCAGGCCCTGCTCTTGTGTCGATAGGAGCGTGCACCTCCCTGCCTGTCCACACCAGGGCCACAAAAGGCAGGCAATCCAGGAAGTCATCGAGCACACAGACTTGACAGAAGGAAGAGGCGCTTCTGCTTTGTGGGCCTGGGATCTCCCCCTTTCTGACTCAGCCTTCCCCAGACAGGCCCTGGCATTGTGCTTAAGCCCACTTTGCATTCTGGTTGCCTGTGCAGCGCCCGCCCCCAGCCCTGCTTCCAGAAATCACCAGGGGCTCCACAGAAGGAAAAGACCCCAGGATGCCATGGAGAGGGGTAGAAGATGCGGACATTCAAGCCCCCATCTGCTGTCCCCACCCTGTCTCCCCGTCTCTTGTAAAGGCACCCTGGGCTGGGACGGGGACAGCATCTGAGTCACCCGCCCAGCTGTCTTCCTGGGGTGGGGCCTGATCCCAAGCCTGGATCCCAGGTGCCTGCAACCTTCCCATTCTCCCACTTAGTGTTGAGAGGGATGGTTTTCAGTGCCTGAAACCCAGCGCAACAAGGAGGAGAACCCCTGGGTGTGGCCAAGATATCCAGGCTGGGCCAAGGACTGCCACAAGGCCTCACAGGCAGCTCTGCATCTCAGCTCCACTCCTGGCCCTGAACTCTGAGCTCTAATTAAACTTTAAACCAGGCAATACCTCCTTTCCCGGTTTGGTAGTGGGGGTTGAGACACCCCAGTCTGAGTTCCCTTGGTCTCCACCCCACTGTCCACCAGCCAACACGGGATCCAAGTGTGTAAACCTCCCCCACCTCCCGGAAGCCCAGCCTCCCACTTAGGATCAGTGGGAGAGAAGAGGCAGGTGGCTAAATATAACAAGCACACACCCCACCCCCTCCCCACGTGCGAGCACACTGGCTAGGCGTCCTGGCCTGGACAGCTGCGCCATGAGGCCGAGGAGACAGACTGGCGTGGCCAGGTGAGCAAGCAGCTACAGACCCCCTGGCCTAGTCCCCGAGCAATGTTTTCCCTAGATCTGCGAATGGGCTAATGGTGCCCTTCATAGGGCTGTCAGGGAACTTGGTTAACCAAGGGGACTAGTTTAAAGCACTAATTCACTTGCTTATTCACTGGGCCTGCCCTGGCTTACTTCCTATCTGTCTTGCTAAATTGTTCACATTTCTAATGGAAATGTCAAACAATCTCTTTAGTGAGCATAAAGTTTGAATGCCAGACACACAAGAGGCTGAGGCAGGAAGATTGCAAGTTTGAGGCCAGCCTGAGCAACTCAGTAAGACCTTGTTTACAAAAAATTTAAAAAGGGTTGGGGATTTGGCCCAAGGGCCTGAGTTCCATCCCCAGACCTAAATAAATAAATAAATAATAAAGAAAAGCCAGAAACACACACCTGTAATCACAGCACTCTAGTTTGAACCCAGCCTGGGCAATTTAGCAACTTAGTGACACTCTGTATCAAAATGAAATCCTGGCTAGGGATACACAGTTCAGTGCTAGTGTTTACTTTCTTTCTTTCTTTCTTTCTTTCTTTCTTTTTTTTTTTTTTTTTTTTTTTCTTTCTTTCTTTCTTTCTTTCTTTCTTTCTTTCTTTCTTTCTTTCTTTCTTTCTTTCTTTCTTTCTTTCTTTCTTTCTTTCTTTCTTTCTTTCTTTCTTTCTTTCTTTCTTTCTTTCTTTCTTTCTTTCTTTCTTTCTTTCTTTCTTTCTTTCTTTCTTTCTTTCTTTCTTTCTTTCTTTCTTTCTTTCTTTCTTTCTTTCTTTCTTTCTTTCTTTCTTTCTTTCTTTTTTTTTTTTTTTGAGACAGGGTCTCACTATGCAGTCAGGGCTGCCCTGGAACTCACTGTATAGCCCCGGCTTGTCTCAAACTCACAGCGATCCTCCTGCCTCAGCCTCCTGGCTGCTGGGGCTACAGGTGTGCGCCACCACCCCGGGTCTAGTGTTTCCTTCAATCCCTAGTACAGGGATGGGGATTTAGCTCAGTGGTTCCTCCGCCTGACTGGCAAGTGCAAGATCCTGAGTTGGTTCTCCAGTATCAAAAACAAAAACAACACAAAACAATCCCTACTCCAAAAAAGGAAAAGAGAAAGGAAGAACCTAAGTCTACATAACTTGCATTCACATCTGAAGTCGGCCGTGCCTATGAAGGGTAAGAAGTAGGGTACAGAAGGTTCTGGGAAGAGCAAGAGTTAGGAGCAGATAAAAGCCTCGGGCCACTTAGGGATCTGCGGCCCTCTGGGGCCCACAAAGAAAAGGGAACAAGGAGGGGAAAACCGAGTCACTGGGCTAAGGACGGAAGGGCCTAAACTTCCAGGCTCCCAAAGGCCATTTTAGAAAAGAAGGTGGAGTCAAGCAGGGTGGGGCAGGGTGGGGCAGGGATGGGTGTAGTGGGAGTGGCCTGGAGCTTCCAACGGCTGGATTTCAAAAATGTCATTGTATTCCAGCAGTTTAATAAGGCAAAGATCTAGGCATCATCGGAGAGGATGGGCCAGAGCAAAGACTGCCAGGGTTTGGCTGGGAAAGGAAAGTGGAGGGAGAGAAGGGCAGAGCCCCTGACCCCGGAGAACACCAGGCAGAGGGCCAGGAGGAGGGGGTGCCCAGACCTGGCCCTAACACAACTTCCTGGGCCCAGCCTCTGCCCGTCTGGACTCCTCCCTCACTTGCATTCCTGGGCCAGGCAGGCCTAGGGCTGTGGGATCTGCGGGGGAGCAAACTCCTGGAGCTGTTCTGGGGGGCCTGACCAAAGCCAAGAGAGGCCCCAGACACGGGAGTGCGAGCAGAGCTGCCCACGCTTAGGAGGAACCCAGGAAAGATCGTATCAAGGTCCGGAGAGGACGACAGGGGCCACCCTGCCTCGGTGACCTCTCTTCGCCCCTGGACAGATGCCAGCGCTCTGCCCCGGTGGGTGTCGCATCAGAACCAGCCCGAAGCTGGCACGGTGCCAGGCCCGAGGAAAGTTCCAACAGGAAGGACCCTTTTCCTATTCCCATGTGTCCCGGGCGCCCAGAGTTCAGAGACCCGGCAGGGCCAGTTCTGAGTTGCTCAAGCCTGTGCCGGG